AACACTGAGAGGCAGATTTCGGACATACTGAACAACTGGCAGGCTTAGTCAGCATATAAGCGTTCACGCTCACCTAAGCCACAAAAACGTAGAGATTAAAAGCGAACGACAGAAAAAGAAAAATCAATCCAAGTCAAAAAGTCCAAGTCAAATATATAGTGGCTGATTACCTGGAAGTGAGAACTTAATCCTTTGCTGACCATAACTTTGGCACCTTCAAAGCAGGTCGGAAAGACATCTCTGGCTTTTCGGTGGAGCTCTTCATAGCTTCCTGAGTAAAGTGTGAGTTGAAAGGAAAACAAACGCAGAAAAGTTACGATAAACTCGGATAAACAAATGGTATTCAAATATATATTGGACAAAAAACTACGTCCAGAGATGAACGACTGACGAATACACTGTGATTTGAAAAGAAAAACGTAGAAAATGAAGGATATAGGGTGTAAAAATAGACAGAAATCAAAGAAAATGATGCCAAGAAGTAACTAACCTGGATTCATAAAAGGCTTGAGCAACGAAGGTACAGTAACTTTTTCTTCCACCACTGTCGGTTGTACCACTGTCGCTGCTGCAGGTTGTGACATTCTGATGGACCCCTAAGCATGGTTATAAAACAGGATATTACTGAAATCCTCACTGATTTAGAGAAAACCACAAACAACAACAAACACAGCATAAAGTGCAAGAAATCGACGGAAACGAGCTACCCTACAAATCAAATACGACTTTGATTCAGCACGCATACCTATATAAACATCACTGATCAAGATGTCGGCAAAATAGGATTACTTTTACACGAAAAAAATTATGCAATCAAACGCGGAGACGAGCTTGCACGTTACGAGCCAACCGTAAACAACAAGCAAAGCAGGTGTGCGCTGTACTCTTGTAGTGCGATACTAATCGCTCAAAGCACAAAATTTTTCCCTTTTACTTTACAGAGTGCAGTCTCTAAATATTTGTCCTTTTAGACTCTCAGGTAGGTCTGCACTGACTTGAGTGGAAAAGGTCATTTTTTGCTTTACGCGAGCGCATAACAACCCTTTTTCTTGCTTCACAGGCGTCCTTATAGAATCGGACAAAGAACAAGTCCAAAGTGAACCGTAAAATCAAAATCGATGTTGAAAAAGCCTTCAGACTAAGGCATGCAGTTGGTTTCGATACTGAACAATAAGTAGAATCGAGTCAATATTGTTCTCCTGCGTTGCCCGACAACATTCGGCCGTAAACAATGAGAATGTGCGCTCCATAGTCAATTTACGAGCATTTCGTACACAAATGTTCGATTTGAATGTTGTTGCCACGCAAGAGCGTGGAACGGTAATATTTTAGCTGACGAAGATCAAAAAGTCAAAAATATGCATGTCGGTGTTTTTACGTAGGCGTTTGACTCGCTGATGCCGAATCATTACCGTCTCACAAAAAATTCTTTGAAGGGTTACAGTAGCTATACGGTAGCGCAGTGGCGTACCCAGGATTTTCCTTAGGGGGAGGCGAGCGACAAAAAAATTTTTCTTGGTAATTTGTGTGGCGTGAGTTACGTATTCCGAAGAATTTTTTCGTATGCTTCCCAAGATTTCCGAGGGCCCATAACCCGGAAAACGCCTCGAAAATTTCTTTTATAGGGCTGAATTGAATTCCAAAAAATAAAATTCATTTTAATTATTCGCAAATATGAACAAGTCACTTGCACATTTTTATAACTCTTGTAAGTAACTTACAAAAATTTCGTGACCCATTCTAGGGCCTCCTCCCTCATTCCCCTCGGTAATTCACTGGGTAGGTTGAATTGAAACCCCGAATTTGCTCAAAACTTTGTTCTTCAAAAACTTTTGACGAATTCAAATTCTATCTCGTCCACCATATACCTACCGTAACCAGAATTCGCGCTACCGCGCCAAAATAATATGATACTCAGCGAGCGGACTCCCTCCGAGTTTTTGGGTCGGGTTTGAAGGGTTAGCACCAAAAAAATACGAGTGGAGTAGTATTGGAGGGTATTGTGTGCTTTTGCGGTATACACAGTATCTGCGCGAATAAATTGCAGTTTAGAGCATATTCTGATAATTCACGAATCTCGATCAATCCTTAAGCGCGGATTTTCGCGATGTCGAACTGGCAAAGACAAATTCTAGTGATTCTCAAATAAAGTAATAAAATCTGATCACAACCAAGAAGTCCAGGAATTTTTCTGGCAGAGAAGTGAATGAGTCCGAGATTGCTTCTACGCTAAACGATCTAAGAAAAAAATGACTTGGCAGTCGGAGAGTAGTGACGCTGCTATTACACTGTGTGTTTTGGCTTGGGAACGGCTTGGACTGGTGTCGACTCTCGACGTTTATTTGTATTGCCCAGCCAAAGAAGTCTATTAAGCATAAAAAAACACTCGCGATGCAAATAATACCGATGTAGCTTCATTTCTACGTTCATTAGAGAAATCTCCATTTGCAATTCGAGTCATAATCAAATGTGGTTCAGTGTGATTGTTTGGAGTAAGTTGTTGCTGTTTAGAAAAGGAGGCTACAAAAAATTTCAGGAAGGTGAAAATTTTTTGCGTGGGGGACCACATGTCAACGAAAGTTGGAGGTTGTGCCGGATATTTGCAACAAATACACATTACAGCATGCACAGGTGTGTATCTCCTGCGTTGTCCGCGCGGGACCCTCTCGCTTTCGTGACATATAGTCCTCTCCCTAAAACTGGGAAGTATTACTCGCACATCTTCAAAAATCACCCGAATTCCACATGAAACTATCAAGTTAAGCTGTATAACGCGAAACACAGCTTAGTCAGAGACGCAGACAAAATATAGGTGCGCTAGCTGCTGCGATGCGGCTTTGAGCTGACAACTTTGGGTATTTATACCAAAAGCATACACAAGAGGGAAGGGTTGACTCACAAGACTTATAAAATTCTGAAGTAACCTGTTTCCATTTGTAAAAATTCGAA